GTTGATGATTGAATACCACAATTTGGCTTGGTACTTTATCTTCTTTAATGAACCAATTGATCAAATACTTAGTGTGCATCTTGTAGGGGAAGTCTAGGATGTCAACTACAATTTTGATTTTTTTTATTTGAGCTCCTCATATAACCATGGAAGATCGACCTTGAGATCAAGATCATGTGAATGTTCCTCAGATTATGGTTTTTGCATCACAATTTGCATATTGTGTACAAATCAGCACCCGTAATCGATTGTGGAGGTAAATTTATCTTTAAGGTAAAAGTAGGTGCTAGATTTATATGATGGCGAGCACCCTTTTCTCGATGAATAATGATTTCCAATCGCTGCCACAACATTCACTTCACCGATCGCCACTCAAAACTTTGAATCTCGCTTTTGAATTTCCGTGATTTTGTTTATACTTTTTATGATTTGTGGTAATAGATCATCGATCACAGGAGTAGACTTTGGTAGCATTGTGATTCATGAATCTTATAGACTTTGATACCAATTGGTTTAGAAAGAAGCATCTGAATCAATTAAAATAAATAGATTCCTTTTACCTTATAAAAACAAAATCCTAGCCTTCTCCCAATAAAAAAGTGCACCAAAAGAACTCAGTTAAATACTAAAAAAATGTCAAAAGTAAAATTCAACTAAAAAGTCTATGGAAGATAATCGTAAATTAAATTTTTTAAAAGTATTTTTTAGGAGAAAGTTTATATAAGACCACAATTTTATTTGTAGAATTAAGGTTACTATAATTAAATGTTGTAGATTGAGCAGATCTATAAACAATTAGTTTTTTTGAAATTAGATGGTTCAAATAATACAAGATGGACAATTTTTATGACTCAAAATCCTTTTTTTATATATCCATATATCTAGATGATCAATTTACAAGTTTTTCAGCATTAAAACAACCTTTTCAATGATTTTTTAGGATGCGCCTTAATAATATAAGGTTGAAAAACATTTTAAACTTTTTCATTTTCTTTATATTTAAGTAAATTAGTTTTCCCGAAGAGCGGACTTCAACTTGAAGTCTACAACCTCCTAGTCCACCAACCTAGGAGCAAACTAAAAAGATGCCACCTTTGAAAACATGTCCAACCCCCAAATAACATTGAAGATTTTATCAAATGACAAGATATCCACTAAAATGCTCTTAGCTCCTCACTGGAAAACACTAATTTTCTCCTTTTATAACAAACTTTGCAAGGGCGAACTATGTTGTCCTTTAAGGAATCCTCTCTTTATCTCTCTCACTCTCTCTCTCTCTCTCATGAACTAATGAACTTGTATTGTCTTTTGAGGATCACTACATCCTTGAGCAAATTGCGCGCTCTCTCTCTCTCTCTCTCTCTCTCTCCTACTACGTAGTACTTAGTAGACTACTCTCTCTCTCTCTCTCTCTCTCTCTCTCTCTCTCTCTCTCTCTCTTAAGCAAAACTTTGTGGTCCTTTTGAGGATGAGGAGCTTTCCACTCTGAAGTCCAATTGAATCCGATTGCAAGTTTAACGAACCTTTCCAACATGTCTTCAATATAGGTATGAAGAAAACCAAGCAAAATGCCAAAAGACTTACTAAACCGCCATTGTAGGTGCACCATAAAAACGTTTTGTGCCTGCCAACCCTCCAATAAAGACCCCCAATAAAACCCCCACCTAATAACCAAAACCCACCGAAAAAGGTAAACTTTAAGCAAAATTCCCCTTGGCCTCCTTGTGCCAACTCTTTCATAATTGAGAATGTTCGGTCATATGGACATATAGAGATACCAATAGTAGCAAAAAAAAAAAAAAAAGTCTTCAAAACATTCACAAATTCTAACCACTCCCATTGAAGATTAGAGAGGGAGAGAGAGCTTTTGCATAATCGTGACCTCGGTGTTTGTATAGAATTGGTTTTTAATGTTTCTTACTCTTATTGATTGTGATTGTATTATACCACAGAGGCCTTAAACAATCAAAGTACAGCGTAACTTCAAATAGCATTGAAAGTTGTCATTTTATGATGGCCTAAATATTTATTTTCATCTCTAATTATAAATTTTAAAATTTTTAAAATAGTAAAGATGAAACAAATATATGAACACTTGATAATTTACAAAATTGACGGTCTAGATAATGCATTACAAGACAACCTGGAGTTTTTTTTTTTTAAGTCCATGTATCTTAAGGTCGAGACGATTGGATCCGGTAGTTTTTTGGCAGCAAAAAAACTTTTTTTAGTTATTTTTTGAGGTGCACTTTAATTTGGTTGTTTAGGGCCTCAACTTTATACAAACTTTTTCCTGGTATTATGTAATGTTTTTTTGGCATTTGAAATCGTTGTAATGTTTGTACTTTGAAATTAATCAGTCGTGACCCTCTGTCAAAAAAACAAGAAGAAAGAACCTGTATTTTCTTATATGGGTGAGGTCTTAGCAACTTATAGTCTATGTTACATAGAAATCGAAACATGTGTTATAATTTAAAAGATGGACACGGTTTCTTTGCAGCGAGCCCGCATATTGTAGAAATACGCGCTTGGCAATAAATATATATTTTTAAATATAATTTGATCTTAATTTTTAAAGAATATATAATATTTAATATAGAGGTCATGAATATAAAAAAATTAAAATCGCATATTGTAGAAATGCGGTCCAATCCACATGAAACAATTTTCCTTAAAAGATATATTTGACAATGATACGAGTGTCAGATGTGCCAATTTCGAAATTGGCTTTCTATACATGAAAGATCCATGAGTTATTTTTAGAAGAGAGATGCGGTTTTAGATGATGTTGAATTTTTTTTTAATGACATTTCAAGAAACGTTGCCAGTGCCGTGTCTTTTTGTATCAACACAAGAAGAAATCATGGACACTCGTGTCCATATCATTTTGCTCATACTGCACTTAATATCTAAAGTCTAGGCACTTGTAATTTCGAAGATATAAGTTTTTCGGGGTAATATATTTCCCATCTGTTTTTTTTAATAACCTTGTCAATTTCCAGTTATTTCGTAATATTTGGAGAATTTGTTTGGATGTACTCATTATCGGGAACAATTCACTATTTCAATTAAAATAGTTATAATAATGAATTATGTCTTGTTTGGTAGTGTCCCTCATAAAATCATTTAGATAAACTCAAAATCAGATTTACTTGTGTCTTTTGTATAATTATTTTCATTTTGTTCAAAGTAACTTACTGAAAATCGAATGTTTTGAGATAGAAATGACAAAAACAACCGCAAATCAAAAAAATTGAAAGTCAAATAATATTATGCACAAGAGTAATGATATTGTAAAGAATATATTAATTTCATATAAATATCTACCCGTGATGAGATTTACTCCTCGGATTGGCTCTATGTATATGGGAAGGTATACGATGAGATTTTTTACTTTTGATATAAGGTAGTCACAATTAATCTTGACCATTAACTATGAAATTGAGTCGTTGCATTGATTATGTTGATAACTCAAAGTTCCAAAGAAATTTTTTGAAACTTTGTGGCACGCCCAAACTATCAGATTTCACATCACATGATTATACGTCTTTGTATGAAGGTAAATGGGTATTGTGGGTGAGGTTTGTATACGGTTTCAACCTTAAACTATTGAAGTAAGGTCAACGTCTAAACTATGTTGAAAAAGCAGTTTTGGTGCTGCATAACTTTATGATGATATGAAAATCTATTTTTGCCTTTAATTATGAAATTTAAAATTCTTGAATGGTGAAGATCAAGCATATTTATAAATATTTAAAAATCTTGAAAAAGAATGGTCTAGATAATGTGTTAGAAGATGAGCTATTTTTACGATTCAAAATGACGGTCTAGATAATGTTTTAGAAGATGAATTATTTTTATGATTCGAAATCTTTTTTTTTTTTCATGTTTATATATTTCGAGGTCAAGATTTTTTAGCATAAAAACGACTTTTTAGGTGCACCTCATCCGTATCCGTATGGTATAAGGTTCAAACCTTATATAAACTTTTTCCTATGGTAAATTGTCTCATTATATACAATTTATTGTCTCATTATATACAATCTATCATGATCATAAAATTATTAAAATATTGCAACAACCATATAGAAAATCAAGTAATTGAGGAAAAAAATTAGTTATATTCTCGCAGGCAGTAGCCAATAGGAACAAGGGAGTAACACCAATGAAAAGGCTGGTGCCATTTGGTTCCATCAAAAGCTGTGAATAAATCCAAAGGGCCCCTCATTTTTATATTGTCCATAATACCCCTGGCTCCAGTTCACCGTAACCATGGACAGAGAGCTGGAGCCAGCCAAAATAACACCCACTCTCTTTCTCTCTCTAAGCCACAACCCCTATTTTTTTCTCTCTCTAAGCCACCCCCTGTCTTTCTCTCTCTAGGCCACAACCCCCATCTTTTTTTCACTCTAATCCACCCCCTCTCTTTCTCTCTCTAGGCCACAACCCCTAATTCTTTCTCTCTACCCTCTCTTTCTCTCTCTAGGCCACCCCCTCTTTCTCTCTCTAAGCCACACCCTCTCTTTCTCTCTCTATTCTTGTCTTAGACTGCTCTCTCTCTAAATTTTTGTTGTTTTTAAGTGACGGACGACAAGCACTTGCCGACGACAAGAGACAGTCGGACGGCCGACGGATCGCCGGCATTTCCCTCTATCCTGCCACCCACTTCCCTCCAAAACTCGCCTTTAGCCGTCTCTCTCTCTAAGATAATTTATCTCTCTCTACAAATTGTGACTTTCTCTCTCTAACAACGTTGATGTCTTTTTCACCCAAAACACACACACTCTCTCTCTCTCTCGAACATGTCTTTTTCTCTCAACGCTCTCCTCTCTCTCATAACTTCATATCTTTCTCTCTCTAAACCCATCCGATTCTCTGGTTCTAAGAATCCTCTTTCTCTCTCTAAACCCCATCTCTCTGATTTTCTCTTTTAAAATGTTGCTAGAGCTCCCCACTCTCTCTCTAAGTCTTCCATCTCTCTTTAACTACCCTCATTTGAATCCTTTCTCTCTCTTCCTCGTTTATTTATTTTCTCTCTCTAAGGGCACCTACTTTCTCTCTCATCTCGAGCATAAAAAGGGGGCCTCGGACTCAGTCACAGGATTATTGTATCTTTTCTCCATTCTCCCCATTTTTTTTGGGGGGTTTTGGGGTTTCACCACTTTCGCTCTCTCTCTCTCTCTTCTTTCTCTCTCTACGATGGCGAAAACATCAAACCACCAAAGCACCAATCCCACCATTTCCACTCCCTATAGTACCACTTCAACCACAACTACACAGAAGCTCAAGAGAACTCGAAAAAGCGTGCCAAGAGATTCACCACCTCAGAGGAGCTCAGTTTATCGAGGGGTCACAAGGTTATCATCTCCGATTTTTTTTATTTTTTTGCATTTTTCGGCAACAAAGACGACGGGAAATTCAGTTTTTCGGCGAGGAAGAATACCGAGTCTGTCGTTTTCCGGAAATGGAGATCGTGGAAGCTCATGTGGGCGGTTTGTTTTTTGCTTCAGGCATCGATGGACAGGTCGTTATGAAGCTCATCTTTGGGATAAGAACTGTTGGAATGAGTCTCAGAACAAGAAAGGAAGACAAGGTGATTTGATTTAACTCTTTCTCTCTCTATATCTCTCTGGTTTCATTCATTTCTCTCTCATCTGGGCCACTCTCTTTTTCTCCTGTATTTGCTCCATTTCACATCTTGATGCGCTTTCTCTCTAGTTTCACTTGTTTCTCTCTCAGCTGGGGCTCTCTCCTGCTCCAGTATTTTCGCTCTCTATATCTCTTCTTTGTTTTCTCTGACTGTGGAAATATCAATTGTTTCCGGTTGATCGCCCGGCTGATATCGGAATGATCGGTGGATTCAGTGTATTTGGGTAAGTTTCTCGATCTAAAGCCATATCTCACCATTAATCTACTGGTTTTTTCATGAAACCAACGCATTGCTCTAAATTTTACTTACAATTTTCAGGTGCCTACGATGACGAAGAAGCAGCAGCTCGAGCCTATGACCTAGCAGCTCTGAAATATTGGGGTCATGACACTATTCTAAACTTTCCGGTAAGTTTTCCGTTATCGCCGAGCCGGGTTTTATTTCCCGGCCAATTTGTGGCCGGATTTTACTTTTCAGGTGATTTTTTTTTTTTTGACGAAATTTGGTGTAACAGCTTTCGACTTACACGGCAGAGCTCAAGGAAATGGAAGGACTCTCCAAAGAAGAGTATATTGGATCCTTGAGAAGGTAATTTTCTCAATTTTGACCAAGCAAAAAATGACGGAAATAAATTAGCTATGGAAATAAGAACAATTTTAGAAAAAAAAAAACATTTCTAAGCAAAGGAATTTTGATTTTTATTTATTTATTTTCACAGGAAAAGCAGTGGATTTTCTCGTGGGGTATCCAAGTATAGAGGCGTTGCTAGGTACATATTTATTAGCCCCTTTTTCTGAAATAAAGGATTTGTTCATGTAGATATAAATGCCGACCCAATATAGTTGGTAAAATGCTGGGATGATCATGATATGAATATAAATATTTATTTTATTTTAAGCCTAATATCTTCTTTTTTAACATTTTGTTTTTTTCACCTGTTATGTAAATCCAGGCATCATCATAACGGTAGATGGGAAGCTCGAATCGGAAGAGTATTCGGCAACAAATATCTTTATTTGGGAACTTATGGTAATTAGCCTATCATTTTGTTTATTTTTTAATAGATAGCAAAATCATGTTAAATATTTATTGGTTGATGTTTATATGAGGCACGAGATGTAATTTCAGTGCAATAACTCTTAGGATAAATGACAAAGATAAGGCAAATCTATAAATACTTGAAAATCTACAAAATTAACGATGTGGATATTATGGTACAAAATGCATTGCTCCTTGGACTTAAGATATTCTATTGAAAAAACTTTACATAAGGTTGCAACCTTAAAATGCAAAATTATAGATGCATCTCAAAAATCCATCGAAAAAGATTGTTTTAATGTTGAAAAACCCTTTAATTAATCATCTCGACATCGAGATATATGAATATGAAAAAAAATGATTTTGAGTCCCAGAAATAGTGTATCTTGCAGCACAATATCTAGACCGTTCGTTTTCAAGATTTTCATATATTTATAGATCTACTTGGTTTTAATCATTTTTGGAGTTTAAAATTTTATAATTAGATTTTAAAATAGATTTTTAGGTAATCCTAATAATGTCTTACACCAAAATTACATGTCATGATAAAATTTGGAGGTGCACCTTAATTGGATTGTTTAAAATTGCACCTTATAGAAACCACACCCTTTTCTATTTTCATGCACATATACATCAAACTTGAAATGATTAATTGGAGGGTTTATATAAGGAACTGAACAAAACAATTCTAATGCTGATGCCTTATATAAAGTCTTTTCATATTAAAATAAACAACAAAACTAGTACATGATTATCAATGTAGGAAAAAAAAAAGGGATTGTATTCAATGGGACCATTTACCTTTGGTACAAAGAGATGAGAATTACTTATGACCACCAGATTTTAAATCTTATAGCTTGGTTATGCCACAATGTTAGAGGAAAGTTTTTTTAATTTTGAGCTGGATCAATGTAATAATTGCAACCATCAATTTTACATCCAATGGCCAAGATTATTTGCAATCACCTTGTGTCAAAGGTAAAAATGAAATCACTCTTAATAATGGGGTATTTAGTTAACTAATTGATGCTTGGGGGTAACTCTGCCATGGCAGATCTTGAGCCGGTCCTAGCTTGGATAAATGAGGGCCGGGCTGGGTTGGGTTGGGTTTCATGAAAAGCCTTCACAAATAGTTGGGACAAAGTTTGAGTGATGATGATGACGAATTGAATCTTGGGGGTGTGATTATTAACTCAAAAAACGATTTATTGCGCCATTTTGTTGGGTGAATTCTGCTTAGAGGGTGTGACTAGTGAGCCAAAACATAAATTGAGGTGGGTTTTTTTGTAGTAATATTAAAGGGTGTGATCAATGAGCAAGAAATCAATCTTGGGGTTATTCAATGATTTTTGGGTGAGATTACTACAATATGGGATGGCAATCCCAGCCCACTTATGAGTAATATCTTCTTAATCTAAATTTAGAGTAGAAGTTTAAAATTTAAACAAACTGAGTACTTATGTTATTTTTCCCCTTATTTTCCCAGCTACTCAAGAAGAGGCCGCAACGGCCTATGATATGGCGGCGATCGAATATCGCGGTCTTAACGCCGTTACGAACTTCGATCTCAGCCGTTACATCAAATGGCTCCGTCCCAATAACAGCACTAATGCTAATCCTAACCCCGCTGCCGTTACGCACCCGAAACCCTCTCCGTTGGATGACGTGTCAGCCTCTAGCCAGCCGTTAGGGGTAGGGTGTTTCGAGCAAAGCCACCATGTGGGCCCACCATCCTCGTCCGCAGCTCGATCCAACGGCTCAGCTTCCTCAGCGCTCGGCCTGCTCTTACAGTCATCCAAGTTCAAGGAGATGCTAAAGATGACGTCCGCGGCCGATATTTCGACGAAGTCGCCGGAATCTGAACCTCTTTCGGCGAGCGCTTTTCCGGACGATGTTCAGACTTACTTCGAGTGCGGCGGCGACTCAGGAGGATTTGTCGGGGATTTCGCGGAAACCGAGGGCATGTTTGGGGATTTGCACGCGTATGGATCAGGGTTTCTTTGCGAGACTAGCCTATGAGGGAAGGGGTATTTTAGTCTTTTTGCAGTTCCACCCTTTCTTGCTCCGTGGGCTCTTTCTCTGCCACTCGACGTTTTGGTCTTTTTACTTCCTCTCCCTTGGTTGGGCCGGGCCTTTTTGCGACTTCCTCTCTATCTTTCCCTTTGTCCTTTTGTTGGCTTTTTATCTTTCTCTCTCTTAAATTGGCTTCTCTCTCTCTCTCTCTTAAAATCCTTTTGTTGGGTTTTTCTCTCTCTTAAAGTGGCTTCTTTCTCTCTCTTAAAGAGGCCTCCCCTCTTGTTGGGTTTCTCTCTCTCTTTTAAAATGGCCTCTCCTTTTGTTGAGTTTTTTTCTCTCTCTAAAAAGAGGGTTCATTTCTATTTTCCCTATTGAGGTTGGGTCCTCTCCCTCTAACTCTCTCTCTCTTATTGAGATTTATTTTTTTATTGATTATTGTATTGTGGATACAGGAAGGGGAAAGTGGGGGCCCGTAAGGGAGATGGGAGGGGTACAAACATTTTGATGATTTTGATTCAGTGTAGATATACCTAATCAAACATTCATTCCCTGTTGCTTTTGAATAAATTTTTGGTGCAAAGAAAAAGCATAAGAGGAAATCTTCCTGGTCGTACAATCGTATATAGTTTTCTATGTCTCTGTGCCATGATACTTGCATGTTTGTAATTGTGGAATATTTGGATTTGGGATGACTGAGCTTCTCAACAGATCAAAATGGCTCCAATTATTATATGTTGTTGAGGGATGAGAGGCCTATTTAATCTTTGAGCCCCTATGGCATTTACTCATGGGAGTACATTGTACAAGTAGACAAACTACTTTTGATTTTTTTTTTTTTTTTTATCCACTTTAGAATCACCATGTAAGTATTTTTCAGAAAAAGTAAAATAGATTGTGTTTATAAACTCTTGCACGCTGTCCAAAAGTTAGATGGTATTTAAGAAAACACAGGTTTGGCACGAAATCGCCGGGTCTGACTCGGAATCGGTCACCCTTGCTGATTTTATAAATCATCTTGAAACTGGCGATTTTCTAGAGTAAAATGTCGTTTTGCTACAGAAAAATATTGATTCATCGATCCAGACCGGTTGTTGACCAGTTGAATGTTTTTGCGCGTATTTTTTATCCGGTTCACTATTTTTTCTGTGCAATAAAACGACGATCCGGACTGCCGACTCTCCGATCCAGACCGATTTTTACGATATAATAAAATCACGATCCGGACCGCAGACTCACCAATCCAGACTAGTTTTTATGATGCCCAATCCTAGTTACTTATCTATTTTTTAAATCACTGATTACACATATTGAAATGTGTATGATCTTTCACCATAATACATCTTTCAAATTTTGGATCGTAAAATAGGTAAAACTTTCTATGTTCTCCCTACAACATAGAAGATCTATCTCCCCATATCATCCAGCCGTCCATTTTTTATCAAGAGAGCCACTCAACGTTTGATCTTAGATCCAACGTCTCAAAGTATTTTATTTTAGTTTTTTTAATACAATTTTTTTTAATATGAAATTTGATACGTGTCATCTCTCATTGGAAGCACCTATAAAAAATATTAACAATAATTTTTCGATAAAAAATAATGACCAAAATATCCCTTAAATATGAATGGAATTACTATATTGTAGGGGACATAGAAAGCTTTCTATGTTCCCCTAATAATAATTTTCGATAAAAAATAATGACCAAAATACCCCTTAAATATGATCAAAATACCCTTGAAATAATGTCCCCCTTAGGCGTACCGTTTGGACTTAGATCCTAATATATATATATATATATATATATATAATAAATCCTAAGAAAAGAAACTGACCAAATTCCCCATAAGCTCCATTGTTAGTCTGGTTAATTTATTTTATGAGGAATATCTTTTGATTTTGTTTTTAAGTGTGCCGAATAAGAGGATGTGATGCCCCAAATTCATAATCAAAGTGATTTGTAAAAAGGAAAATTAAATAATAAAATAATATTTAGGCATAAATGTATAACATTGTAATTGAGGTCATCTCAACTGTCTACTTAGATCGGACGGCTGAAAGAGGGGTTGCACATATAATTTCCCTATACCCGGTGAATATCGAAAGTCTAATAGGAAGTTGGATGTATGTGGTTTTATCATTTAAATAGTTCACTATGTGGTTTTAGCATTTAAGTAGTTCAAGGACAAAAATGTTAGCCTCTACTGGTTGCAACATTTTTGCCCTAGCCCATGAAAAACAATAATAATTGTTGGAAGATCCGAGAGCATTTTGCGAAATATTTTGAGCCCACTAAGATAATTGACAATTGGAGTACTTTGAAGGTGTTGCAATTTTTACTTTTAGCTATATGTTTGGCTGTATATAATTGGAAAGGTACTTCTTGGAAATGGTTGGTGCAACCTCCAAAGTAGACTGAAATTTAATAACCCTTGCAAAGGAAATAGTTTGCGTAAGGGTGAGGCCCGATACAATCAAATTAAGATGCACCTCAAAAATTTATTAGAAAAGGTTCCTTGCATGTTCAAAAATTCTCAAATCGATCATTTGACATCAACATGTATATATATATATGAGAAAATTGGATTTCAAGTCTTGAAAATAATGCGTTATATAATGCATTTTTTGGACCATCAATTTTTAAGATTTTCAACTATTCATAGATCTGCTCGATCTACACTGCTTTTAAAGCTTTAAATTTTATAATTTTCAATGCATCACAAATATTTTTAGTATAAATGAACATCTTTTGATACTATTTGAAGATGCTCCTTGCTTTGATTGTTTAGGGCCTCAGCCTTATACAAACCACACCTTTTTACAAAATGAAAACCTTTTGAATACAAGAATGGCAGAAATATTTTGGAGCTGATGCGCTTATTCATGTGGTTCTCCTTGAAAAATCCAACTTAGAGATGGGTTTTCAATCTATCTTTCAAATACATTTATTTATCTTTCAAATACATTTATTTATCTATAATAGCTGAACCGTTCATTAAGTCTTTCAAATACATTTATTTTTAAGGTTTCGCTATCTATTCAGATTTGTGATATGATATTACCTACTCGTGAAATTTTAGATAAAAAATCTCATTTGAAATGGGCTTTAGAAAGGGCCGTATTTGAATATGACTACAATTTAAACTTTTTATCATAATGAGCTATTAATTGTAGAGAAAGACGGAAGCCACAATCCTGGAACTATCATTTTTTCAATTAGTGTGACAATGCCACACTAGCCTAAGATGTATAAAAGAAAAACAATCCACGAAAACAAGAAAGAATGAACAAATACAATAGAAAAAGACAACCAACCACAATGCAAAGATATACGTGATTCGACAACATGCCTAAGTCCACAGGAGATGAGAGCTTCTTTACTGGCCACGGAGAATAGGGTTATATTAGCTCTCTTTCTCACGTCTCTATGTTCTATCTGATTACAAAGAAATCTATGTTTTTCTCTTAACCCTAAATGAACTCCCCATCGCAACAATATATATTGAATTGTAACAATGTATATCGAGTCGCAACAAGATATATAATGAGTCTCATATAGATGATATAAATTATCGAAATACCCCAAATACAGATATATATTGAATCACAGATTAATAGTACAAATTGACTATACCTTGACAGATCTATTTCATCATAATGCAAAACATTGATCATCAATACAAGACTCACAAACAAATAGAAAGAAGAACCAAGATGAAGTGGAAGAAAAACTTCATTAAAGAAAAACATGAGTACACAAAAGTATTACAATCTCAATACACAAGATTAACCTTAACACGTGTGACCTCGAAGTACCCGAAAAGCATTACAATCTTGACACCCAAGATTAACTTTTAACATGTGTCCCAATTTTCTCACTACATACCTCTCTTTAAATAAAGGTTTTTATAACCATATTTTCCACAATAACTACCCACTTGTAACAATAACTACTAACCACCAAATAGTTTTACAACTTCCTACTACACAAAGTTACAAGTGCAACCTTACTATATTACTCATGATAAACTAACATAAAAACTAACATATTTTCTAGAAAATACACTTTAGCAATTTTAACACTAATTTAGGACCTGGTTTCTATGCAGCCAAACCCAAATATGT